GGACAGTTTCTACCCCCAAATCCACTGAATATACGTTCTCCTCATCAGCTCATGGGACATTCTCTAAGATTGACCATATCCTAGGACACAAAGTAAACCTCAAGAAATTTAAAAAAAAGAAATCATACCATGTATCTTCTCAGATCACAATGGAATAAGGGTAGAAATCAACCCTAACAGAAACTCACATTTCTACACAAAAACATGGAAATTAAACAACCTCCTACTAAATGATTGCTTCATAAATGAAGAATCAAGACGGAAATAAAAAATTCTATGAAGAAAATGACAATGGAGAGACAAGTTATCAACTCCTCTGGACACAGCTAAAGCAGTTCTGAGAGGAAAGTTTATCTCCATAAATGCCTATAACCAAAAGACAAAAAGATCACAAATAGACAATCTAATGAAATGACTCCAAAGAGCTGGAAGAAAAGAAGACAGACCAGCCCCAAACCCAGCAGAAGGAGTGAAATCAACAAGATCAAATCAGAACTAAATGAAATTGAAAACAGGAAGCTATTCAGGAGATTAACAAAACAAAAAGTTGGTTCTTTGAAAAAATAAACAAAATTGACACGCCACTGGCTAAGCTAACGAAAAGCAGAAAAGAGAAATCTCTAATAAGCTCCATCAGGAATAAAAAGGAGATATTACAACTGATCCCAAAGAGATACAAGATATAATTTATGAGTACTACAAAATATTTATTCACACAAACTGGAAAATGTGGAGGAAATGGACAAATTTCAGAAACACACAGCCTCCCTAGGCTCAACCAGGAATAAATAGATTCCCTAACAGACCAATCTCAACAGCTGAAATAGAAACAGCAATTAAAAATCTCCCTAAAAAGAAAAGTCCTGGTGCAGATGGCTTCACACCTGAATTTTACCACACTTACAAAGAAGAACTAATACCTGTCTTGCAGAAACTATTCCACAACATCAAGAAGAACGGAAACCTCCCCGACACCTTTTATGAAGTGAATATTACTCTGATACCAAAACCAGGAAAGAATCCAACAAAAAAGAAAATACAGACCAATATCCTAATGAATATAGATGCAAAAATTTTCAACAAAATCTTAGCTAACCAAATCCAGACGCGTATCAAAAAAATAATCCATCATGACCAAGTGGGCTTCATCCCAGGAATGCAGGGATGGTTCAACATATGCGGATCTATAAATGCAATTCACCATATAAACAGAAGCAAAAACAAAGACCACATGATTCTCTCAATAGATGCAGAAAAAGCTTTTGACAAAATTCAACACCCTTTCATGATACGAACACTCAAGAAAATAGGCATAGAAGGGACATACCTAAAAATGAACAAGCCATTTATGACAGACCCATAGCCAACATCATACTGAATGGGGAAAAACTGAAAGCCTTCCCACTTAGAACTGGAACCAGACAAGGCTGCCCACTATCTCCACTTCTATTCAGCATAGTACTGGAAGTCCTGGCTACAGCAATCAGACAGGAAAGTGTAATTAAAGGTATCCAAATAGGGGCAGAAGAGACCAAACTTTCACTGTTTGCTGATGATATGATATTATATTTAGAAAACCCCAAAGATCCAACGGAAACTCCTGGAACTGATAAATGAATTTAGCAAAGTCTCAGGATACAAAATCAATACACAGAAATCAGAGGCATTCCTATACTCCAACAACAATCAAATCGAGAACCAAATTAAAGACTCAATACCCTTCACAATAGCACCAAAGAAATTAAAGTACCTAGGAATATACTTAACCAAGGACGTAAAAGACCTCTACAGGGAGAACTATGAAACACTGAGGAAGGAAATAGCAGAGGATGTAAACAGATGGAAATCCATTCCATGCTCGTGGATCGGCAGACTCAACATCATTAAAATGTCTATACTACCCAAACTGATCTACAGATTCAACGCAATACCTATTAAAATCCATCAGCATTCTTCACAGATATAGAAAAAACATTTTACGCTTTGTATGGAACCAAAGAAGACCCGAATATCAAGAGCAATTCTAGGCAACAAAACAATTGGGAGGTATTAATATGCCAGATATCAAACTATACTACAAAGCTGTTGTAATTAAAACAATCTGGTATTGGCACAAAAATAGGATTATTGGCCAGTGGAACAGATGTGAGAATCCTGATATAAAACCATCCTCATGTAGCCATCTAATCTTTGACAAAGCAGACAAAAACATACGCTGGGGAAAAGAATCCCTTTTCAATAAATGGTGCTGGGAAAACTGGATAGCACCTGTAGAAGGTTAAAACAGGACCCACACCTTTCACCTCTCACAAATATCACTCACGCTGATAACAGACTTAAATCTCAGGTATGAAACCATTAGAATTCTAGAGGAAAATGTTGGAAACATCTCCTAGACATCAGCCTAGGCAAAGAGTTTATGAAGAAATCCCCAAAGGCAATCAAAGCAGCAACAAAAATAAATAAATGGGACATGATGAAACTACAAAGCTTCTGCACAGCCAAAGAAACAGTCATGAAAGTAAACAGACAACCTACAGAATGGGAGAAATTTTTGCGTCCTACGTATCTGATAAAGGGCTGATAACTAGAATATACTTAGAACTCACAAAAATCAGCAGAAAAAATCAAATAACCCCATTAAAAAGTGGACAAAGGACTTGAACAGAAACTTTTCTAAAGAAGACAGAAGAATGGCCAACAAACATATGAAAAAATGCTCATCATCTCTAATCATCAGGGAAATGCAAATCAAAACTACAATGAGATATCACTTAACTCCAGGAATGGCCTTTATCAAAATGTCTCCAAATAACAAATGCTGGCGTGGATGTGGAGAGAGAGGAACACTCCTACACTGCTGGTGGACTGCAAACTAGTTCAACTTCTGTGGAAAGCAATATGGAGATACCTTAAAGCGATACAAGTGAATCTACCATTTGATCCAGCAATCCCGTTGCTGGGCATCTACCCAAATGATCCAATGACACTCTATAAAAAAAACACCTGCACTCGAATGTTTATAGCAGCACAATTCATAATCGCAAGGCTGTGGAAACAGCCCAAGTGCCCATCAGTCCAAGAATGGATTAATAAAATGTGGTATATGTATACCATGGAGTACTATTCAGCTCTAAGAAACAATGGTGATATAGCACATCTTATATTTTCCTGGTTAGAGCTGGAACCCATATTACTAAGTGAAGTATCCCAAGAATGGAAAAACAAGCACCAGATATATTCTCCAGCAACTGGTATTAACTGAGTAGCACCTAAGTGGACACATAGGTACTACAGTAATAGGGTATTGGGGAGGGGGGGCGGTATATACATACATAACGAGTGATATGCGCACCATCTGAGGGATGGTCATGCTGGAAACTCAGACTTGTGGGGGGAGGGGAAGGGCATATATTGAAACCTTAAAATCTGTACCCCATAATATGCCGAATAAAAAAAAAAAATTTATTGTGAATAGGCCATAATTTATTTAAACCATGCTGTATTGTTGGATACTTGGATTGTATATACATATATATATATGGTTTTAATTTCTGGTATACATTAGATAATATATCATATCAAATAAATGTTTCAATTTTCTAGATTTTACATTCATCTTTTAATGCATGTAAGCCCTTTCAGTGTCATAACTCTCCTCGAACTCCTGGTCTCAAGCAATCCTCCCACCTCAGCCTCTCAAAGTGCTAGGTTTAAGGTGTGAGCCACCATGCCTCTCCAACTCTTCTCATTATAGTTTTAATTATATTAAAATATATTAACAATTTAATCAATAAATTTAAATTCATTCACTAATTTTATGTTAATCAATATTGATAATTAAGCTTTTATATTTTATTACTTAATTTTATTTATTAATAATGAAATTGTGTTAGCACTTAGTTATATATTCATCTCCTTTTTTCAGAAAGGATTTTGAATAATGTTTTGTCATAGTAAAGGGTTTAAATTATGTATCATTTTAGAAAAAGAAATTAAGATTGGAGTTTGAAAAAATTATTTATATGCAATGAGATGATGGAAGCCACAATACCTTGACCTTTAATTGTCACCTTTATAATTTTATCATATTTCAATATATACTGAGTACTTCACAATAATTAACATGTTGAAGAAAAATTTAATGAAGGAACACATTATCATAAAAGCAATCTGAAAGAACAAGTACTATCATCTATCTGTTGTTGTTATTATGGAAGTTAGATTACTTACTTCCTAACAATATGAATTGGACAGTCTAGCTGAGCAAATTGTCTTAAGAAATTAAAAACAGAAGCTTGTTGAGGTCAAGATAGATAGGAAGATGGTGAGAGGAATAGAATTGGTAGCCACAGAAGTGCCCAAGTATATAGGAACAGCATGTTCACTGTGAGGTGACCCAGGAAGAAAGACTATAAGTCAGTATAATTGGGTCAATTGGTCCATTAGATAGAATAATATGATATCCAGGCAGGTAAAAAACAAGACCATCAAGATTCAGATCATCAGTAGAAATAGGAGAAGAACAAACAGAAAAGGAAATATTACCTTATTCAAAGACCTTTATATTTGAAGCAACTTCCTACCTCTATCTTGAGGTTGGATTGATGAAAACACCAGGCTAGAATGAAGTGTGTGGTGGGCAAGGCAGTTACTGACCATTAGTACCTTAATGCTTATTCCCATTATTTCACTATGTAATGTAGGTGATGCTCATGCTTTTGATGATGAGTGGCAAAATGAGGTTTTGAAGTACAAACCAGGAGGACGACAGCACAATCTAGAACACACTAGAATGCGGAGTGTTGGTCATGAGAATTCAGGATCCCGAGAACTTAAAAGAAGGTAAAATTTATTTCTAAAATTGTGTTTTTTTAAGAAAAATTAGAAGAAAATTTATGTAATTTTACTTGTGTTATCAGGAGGTTTTGATGAACATGCAATCTGTATCCACAGTATCCTTCGTGAAAGATATAATAATTTTATATTAAATTTGAGTATTCCACATATTTAATTTTGTACCTAAAACCAATAATATTTTAGGATTGTATGGTTAGTAATTCACTAGGAACTATGCTTCACAAGGTAGAGGCCAAAATTCTCTTAAGGAAAAGTGATATACTATAATGTAGTTATTCTTGTAAAACAGATTCTAATTTGAATATAGATGGAGTCTTCTGTTTCACACCAGGTAAAGATAGTTGTGTCTAGAGATATGATAAGGGGAGATGAGCTACATGTGAAAGGCTTAAAAACTTTCTTAACAAGTCAAAATTCATCATTTAATAGTAAATGAAATTTTAGACATTTATATAATATGTAACAGTATGTGAAATACCATATTTCAGGTGAATTGGATATTTTGGAAAAATTTTGCAAAAACTTCAGCTTCCCTTGGAAGTCCTTTATGGAATAGCTGTAAAATATAAATGTGATAAAACCACATATTAAAAATTATAGAGGTTTAAAAAAATTTTATAGAGATTCTATACATTTAGTACATATTCTTGAGTTACAATTTAATTTGGTTTTCCGGGGAAAAAATTGAAAACAATACCTAATTCCTATTGAAATTACATCAAGAGAGAGGCCTCACCAGGCCTTAAAACAGAAATCTGTTCTAGGCTATAAGAGAGTGGAGGATTGCTGCAGAAGGTGGAAGGCTTCAGATTCAGAGAACCAGCGATTGACAAGTGGGTATCAAGTAAATCAGAAGCCTTGTGCAGAATTTCATGTGCTAGCATCTTCTCCTTCAAAATACTTGTTGAGGAATTTAAAGCCCTAATATTTTCCATTGAATGGCTTGGAAACTTGCTCTCATGTTAATTTTAGATATTTGTCTCACTTTGGGAAATTGACTGATAAAAAGCCTAACAGTGCTAACTTTGAATATGCAATTCAGGTCCAAGTTAGAGAAAGCACATGCTCTCTATGGATGACCTATAAATCTATGGTCCAAATGGTGGCATTTTCTCATAACTAGCCACTGTCCCAAGAGCATTTGCTGAAATGATTTTATGCAATGATGAAAATGTTATGTATCTATCCTGTCCAATATGGTAATCACTAGTCACATGTGACTATTGATTCACACTTGATATGTGGACTGAAGACTGAATCATTTTGTTTTAATTAATTTAAATATAAATGTGGCTAGTAACTATGATATTGGACAGCATGACTTAAACTAAATAGTTAAATATATCTCATATAAAGCTGTTGCTGTCTTACACATTCAGTAAATAATCTTCCTTGTTTTTCAAAGCTGTTAAGGAACTTTTAAGATAAAATTCTTTTTATATTATAGTGGTTTTTAACATGTTTATATTGATTTAGAATCCATTGACCATTTAAAAATGGTATTGATAATGTTCATATGTATATTTCCAGAGAGAAACTTAACCAAAGTCCAGCCATTGAAAGTGGAAGAAGATCAAATGTTTTTGTGGACAAACTCAACATCAAAGGCTCACCTGTGAAAATCAACAAAAAATAAATAGCCATGCATTTGATTTGTTTAGTTTTGGTTGTTTCAACAGAGAAAGTAATGGTGCTCAGTACTACACATAAGACCAATCTCTTATTAAATCAATACTGTACGTTGTGACTTTCTTCTGATCTTTGAAAGTTCATGGAAGTGTGCTAACTTTATATTATCCCTACTTTAGGAATAAAAATTTGATTTTTAAAAATGTGAGTAAATCATTAAGTATTCTATAAAACTCTTCACTTTAAAACATAATAATTTTTAAAGCTGACATGGTGATTATGTTTTCCCAATTATTTTTGTGTTGGCTCTGTATTCTTTTCTACTTACTCAAGATTGATTATAGAGCTAGTTCTGTTATTTATAATTAGTTATAAGAAACTGAAATGTTAAAAAAGTCTCAATTTTCACTAACACAATGTTATTAATAATAAAGGTTTAAATAATTTAGCTCAAATTTATAATGTGTTATATAGCCCACTAGCTGAAAGCTTTAAAAATAATAAAGAAAACTATATTAGTACTGTTTTATGAAAAATTAGTTATTATTTTGATAAAGGGCAAGAATAATCAAATAGTTCATTTTCAAAGAAAAATATTTTAAATTGGTAATGTATAATACATAAGTTTTCTTGATATGGTTTCTTTATACAGTGTATTCTTTTTTTGTTCTATATTACATTCTTAATATTCATTGGACTTTATATTGACCTTTCTCTTTAACTTCTTGAGGTGGTATATTTCCATTTTCCTTTCCCACAAACAACTTAAATCTATCTTCATGGTTAAGTTAACATTCAAAAGTTGGAGAGTCCTTGGAGAAACTCTGCTCAGCCTTTTTGTGACATTTAGAAAAAATACATTTGGTATTCTGCAAACCAGAAAGTTGATTGCCTACAGATTTATTAGACAGCTGATGTGTGTTTTTTTCACACTTGTTCCCATTTTAATTATACTATTAAAAAATCAGCTTTACCTTATGTATTCTAGAATTCAAACATTAATCTGTTTTTATAAAAGTTAGGTTTGAAGTTTATAAGAATATATAATCTTAACTCTTATATCTGTTGTTTAAGACACTATTTCTATCAAGGAAAAGAACCAGAAAATCTATCACTTTACAATCTTAAGTATTTTCTTTTTTAAGTTTAGAAGTAAAATTTTATGACTATGCTCATCGTTCTCTAATTTTCTACATTATATTCCTGTTAATTTTACTATTTTGCATTTTGTGCCTTTAATTAGTCACTAAAATAAGATGCAAATGTGTTAATTCATTTTTATTACTGAAATTAGTTGAGCATGTATCAGTTAAAATTTTTCTTTTACGCATACTTTAGTATACTACTGACATGCTGTAAACATTGGGAAATTGTCATAAGTCATCATTTTAAATTACACTTTTGCATAAATTAACTTGATAGAGCAAATTCTCAATAAAGTTGACACTTTAAAATTATTCTACTTTTGCCTAAATCATTACACTGATAACTTGAATCATTATATTTAAATCTGAAAACATACTTTAGTAAATTATTGTGCTTAACAGTATAACTCCTATACATTGTACAGCAGTTAGAAAATTCACACTTTTTTCTTCAGAATTTGTTTACCAGGGAAATCAAATAAAAATTGAAATATGTATTTCTTCTTATGCCAAAATGTTTCCTTATGGGATACTTATAAAGAATGTGACATATAGAGATTAAGTGTCAGATAGTAAACCTGCATGTGGTCTCAGCCATATATGATCTTTATATGGCCCCACTTGGACCCAAAAATGTACTCCTATGAGAAGTTGCTCTTAGAGATAAAGACAACAAAATCAGGTAGTAGAACATATTCACACAAGTTTTCAAATAAGACACTTAAGACTTGCTAATAATAAGACTTATTATTATGCTATAGGATCATAATTATCTTGTTTTTTACAGAAATCATTTTTGACCTTTAACATTTGAAACTATTATAAACTGATCTTCCTCCTTTCTAACTCATTCCCTTTTTAACCATTCACTCATTTTTGTTTAGTGTTAACCATATACTAAATGTAAAATCTTTCATAAAAACCATAAAAAATTACTTAAGTAAAATTCTATTTTAATTAACTTTTGTTTAGGATTTACTTAAATTATATGCATTGAATACTAGCTTAATTGCTCAAAGTAACTGAGGTAGAAGTCTGCTTTAAAGATAATGCCATTGACGCAATGCTCAATGAAGAGAGAAAGAGGACCCCGGATGGCATACTTGAATCTTACTCTGGAAAACTGTCCATGTAGGAGAGGGGTGGATACACTGTGAGCCTTTAACACTGTTGCTGTTCTGTGTGTTCTCATTCCCCTGTGGTTATCAGAGGTAGTGGGTGTGCATGGCATGTGTGCTTTCTCTGCCCGAGTCTGTTGGTGTTGAGGCCCAGAGAGAGAAAGAATGCTTTCAACTCACGTGGATACTTAACAGTATTCATTCATGTATTAACTACTTATTGAGTATGCCATGTAATAGGCACTATTCTAGGTGCTGGGGATATCATGGTAAGTAAAATGGACAAGGACCCTGGCCCTTGATTTTATAGTTCATATTAATAGCAGGAAAAGTAGTAAAAGCAAGTCAAGTAAACAATGTTGTATACGTAGAAAATTTCTATTGTGAAAATAAAATGGTATGTGTTTATGTAGGGGAGGAGTGGTGACCTTAGGATGAATGGTCAGGGAAGGTCTTTATGGGGAGATGGCCATTTAGTGGGACCTAAATAAGAAAGAACCAGCCATATAAAGGGCAAAGGGAAGAATGTACCACACAGCAACTGCAAAGACCAGATAGGGGCTTAATGAGTCTGAGGAACAGGAAGGAGACCATGGTTTGTGAGGGGAAGAGCAATATAAGGGGAGGCCAGAGAGCTTATGTAGAGACAGGTAACTCATGGTAAGGAGTTTGAATCTCATTCTACAAGTCTCATGAGGCTGTAAGAGGATTTTAAACAGAAAAACTGGTACGAGAAACAAAACTTATTCAGCAAATTAAGTGCTCTCTTAAAGAAATTTAAAATTTCTGAGATTTTAAAACTGCCCTGACATTCATCAGTCTGGAATAACAAGCATTGACAAAGCCAGGTGCAAAGTATCAGGAAACTATATTTCTCCTAAGTACACACTGCAGATTCATCATAATAATTCCCCTTTTTTGAGCGACTACCGCTTTCTTAATCACTAAGAAACTTTGTTCTGAGAAATCATAAACTATTATAAATTTGTTTTTTTGAAATCACATTAGTAAGACTGGAACAGCCCATTTTTTCCTGGAGAATTTCTCTAAGTCACTTTGACACAGAGAAGCAGTCTTGATGTACAACTCAAGTGAAAGCTTTGCTTTGCATCAAAAACTCCATTTAATGTCACCTAAACTCCACTCTTGCCCCAAATCCTAAAATAATGTAATCTTTTCCTTCATTTACACTCCCACAGTTCCTCTGGTGTGTGGTATCCTCATTGCACTGGGCCTACAAACCTGACTTTGTAGAAGTACAGGTTTATCCTTGGTGGTCTTAGGTTGTTTGGGCTAGGATGACTTAGAGATTCTACCAAGGTTTGGCCAAGACCTTCACTGCATGGACTGAGACCTTCAATTTGGTAATAATGCACATATCTGAGACCTCTTGAGGACCCTTTGTTCCCAGTTATAAGAATTTTGCAGTAAATCTGGATTCTGGACTTTGGCTCTAGTGTTCTGCTTATCATCTCCTGGGACTTGGGGGTTCTGATCAGACTTTGGTGTTCTCTGGAAGCTTTGTCACTAAACACGTGTCTCCTATCTTCTGGCTGCTTGCCCACCATCTTATGTTATTTGTCAGTGAAAACTTTCCTCAGTCTTGTCTGTGACAGGTGTGCTTCAGGAGATATCTTCTCTCTCAGGCATGCTATGGCTTCTCCATGTTCCTTAGGTCAGCATTCAAGTAGGTTAGCCTTAGGGTTAAACCTTGACACACTCATAACAATGTTCTTATATTTGACAGAACGTCAGCCAAGTTTTCCTGGGTTTGTCAGATGATAAACTTGTACTATCTCCTGGCATAACTTTATCAAGGAATTGGTGAACTTTGGGGAACTCTGATATGAGAAAGACAGTTCATTTCAGAGGCACTTTAGAAGAACACCAAAAATAAAAAAGCAATCAAAACTTCAGGAGGAGAATGTTCATCTTATTTGTCTAACAGAGATCACTTTGTTCAATGTAGAAGACTGCCCATCTTTTATTCCCATACTTCAAGGTTTTTTAACTGCATGGCTTCTGGCTTATGTGTAAACTATTTCCTCTTTTCTTGAAGAAGAATTATAATTAGCCTTTCACAGTGATAATTTCATATTTGTCTAAAGCTGACTCTAGCTCATCTTTTACCCTGTTTGTCTCCCTATCTTTTTCTTCTACTTGAAACATTCGAAAGATGAATTCATCAGAAAAAAATTATTCTGTCATATGTGCAATCCAAGAATATCTAGTCCACATAAGAGGTGAAAAATGTCCAAGAGAAAAAAAGTCAACTACCTGATTCCTTCATTAGCTTTAAACAATGTAGGCAAATTAATTTAAATAATTGCCTTTGTTATTATGGTTATTGGAAGTAAGTTTTCAAGATAAAAGAGTTTTTAAATATAATTTAATGATTATGAATATAAGGCTTATAAATTATATTTTATAAAAAGATTCATGAAATATATCTAATACATAAATGAATTTGGGCAAACTATGACAAATTAATATTTATTTAAAGTCAATATATGTCTTCTTCCAGGTTTTATTATATAAAACTAAGGTTAATAAAATATCCTAGTTTATATAAAACTAGGGTTGAACTTTTCATGATTTAAACTTTCTAAATTTCCTGTGTTCATCTTATAGCTCAAATAAGTTATCATTTACTACACCAATTGTGTAAAATTACAATATATAAAATTATATTTAATTAAAAAATTATAATATGGATGTCTTTTAAAGGGGGTTGGATCTTATAAAATCATTATGCTGCTACTAATTATAAGGACCAAATGTGTTAACTAAAATTGTAATTTTTCAGATCCTTAGTTAACATTTCAAGACCTTAGATGATATTAAATTAGTTC